TTACATTAGCCCTGTTATTTTCCCCTTAAAACCTGTGTCAAAGCCTAAGTGGACTATTAATAAAGAACGGAGGGAGTATTATTCTATTTATAGATAACATATTCTTTTTTAGGTCAGCATAACTCTAAGAAAATTAGTAAAGTGATAAAGAAAAAGAAAGTGTTGTTAATTAACTTAGGGAAAAGTATGGAAAAGGTACTTGTGGTTGGACCCGTTTTCAAATAGGGTCATGTGTTTCATTCTTTATCAAAGTGGTCCATGTGTTTGAATTCCGTTGGCACAAGAGGGTCACACCGTTAAAAACGTATGAAAAAGACCGTTAAAAGTAACTCTGATTTTCAAAAGTGCCCGAAAAATTAAAAGAAAAATACCGAAAGGTGCGCCTCGTCAAGATGACCTCCAAACCACCTTCGCCTTTGGATTTTTCAGACCTGTTCGAATTATTTTTTAAAACAGATTTCACTAATATCATTTTTCCGGTGGACTTTCAGGTGACAGGGGTGGCTCAAAAAAAGAAAGATGGCCTACCGGTCGTCTTATTGAGGTGCACCTTCCCGTATTTTTCTTTTAATTTTTCGGGCACTTTTGAAAATCAGAGTTACTTTTAACGGTCTTTTTCAGACGTTTTTAACGGTGTGACTTTCTTGTGATAACGGAATTCAAACACATGAACCACTTTGATAAAGAATGTAACACATGACCCTATCTGAAAACGGGCTCAACCACAAGTACCTTTTCCGTACCTTTTCCATACTTTTCCCATTAACTTATTAGTGCCAAGACAAAGCAAGAAAATTTAAAAAGTACGGAGGCATTATTAATAAAATATTTTAATGATTTTATATACTACGTAAATATATGATGGGAGCGAATTAATTGGAAATTTGGAACAGTGGACACGTTCTGAGGATAGGAATTAATTTAGGATCCCAATTCAATAGTATAGTAGTAGTACAATAGTACCTAGTAGCATAATACTCCCTCCGTCTCACTAATTCACTATGATTGTCTCATTTTACCGTTTCGGTCCGTCCCACTAAGATTGTCTCATGCCTTATTTGGTAAAGTTTGTGTGGTTATAAATTGTTAAGACCCGGGGTTCCATCCTAAAAGGTTAGCCTCGGGTCTTAACATGGTATCAAAGCCAAACCGATCCTTAACCATGGTGTGGGGCCCCTTATGAAAAAATGACGACACGATTATAAAAAAAATGACAATGATGAACCGACAAAAAAAAATGAATGACGGCACGATCCAGACGAAGTGTCTGATCGTGAGAAGGGGTGTTAAAGTCCCACACCGAAAAAGTTTGAATCAATAAAGTGCTATATTAAGATCTGAGCTACTTCTCCTATCAGGTTGACCTTTTAGGATGGAACCTCAGATCTTAACATAAATCATTCCTACTTTATTCTTACTTTATCAATTCAATATCAACCACATAAACCCACTTTTATTAATAACCGTGCCACCTTCTCTTGTCCCAAACTTAGGGGGACGGAGGTAGTATAACATAATACATGTGGATAGATATTAGATAGCACTATTATTATTATTTATAATTCCTCCGTCCCTTTAAGATTGTCTCATCCTTCTTTTCGATCCGTCTCATTAAGATTGTCTCATACCAAATTTAGTAAATTTTGTCTGGTTCTAAATCATTTTTGTTTTATTCTTACTTTATCAATTGAATATCGATCATAAATCATTTTTCTTAACAATCGTGTTACATCTGTATCTTCATGTTGTTAGTGAGATGAGACCCTATTACAGTACTTAGCAAATTTTACATGTGATGGATGGATGGCTAATTTGTCATGGTAGGTAAGGTAATGAAAGTAGTTGGCATCATGATGCCAAAAAAGAAGTGTGATTAATTGAAGGATGCATGTGATGAGGCATTATTTAATGGGTATGAAGCCACCGTTAATTGGTGATCTATATCATTACACATATTCATCAATCCGACGGCCGGCCCTCAACTGCACGTGCATGGCAGTCTACGTACAGTCGAATGTTCTCTTCTGCACTTCCTCTTCTCCTTTTCCCACTTTTGTTCAAATTTCCGACCACACCAACACAATAATAACTAATACGGAGTAATAACTATAATAATAATATTAATACATATGGAGTATTATATCATCATTAGTTCATTACTGTACTAATTTTGTAAAACTGATAATTAGTATTTCATTCATCCTCCAAAAACACCTCGCTTTCTTTTTTATGAATGTTTGTAGTCTCAAATAAAAATTCCCATATCTATAAAAGGAAAACACATTTAAGTTAAAACTCTTAAATATGTTCACGGTTTGTTTAGTATTTAGTTTGACATAAAATAAGGGTATGTACACTTGAAAAATCAAAACATAATTTTATCGTACATAAATATGTGTAGGTCAAACTTAAATCAATATGATACTCGTATACTTTTTCCAATCTTGAGGGTTTAATTTTTGGTGACAACTCTGGTACCTTTCTAAAAACAGGGGTACCGTACCTAGCATTCATTTGATTGGACCACATCACTATATCAATTTTAATTTAGATTTAAATAATTCAACTGCTATATTTTCATTGGTCCATGTGGACAAAGGTATGGTACCTTATGGGTACCATAGAAACCACCTTAATTTTTTCCCTTTGTCCGCAAGTCTATAACCTCTATGATTCATGAGACAAGTTTACTATTCATGGTGGCTCCTATTGTCCTATCCATCTTCTTTTCCATTATTTCTCCTAAAATTTAGAATGTTAAATATACGGAGTACTACTTACTAAATTGTTAGCATCACAAGTGAGAGACTCACATTATATACTCCGTATATGAAAAGTTCTTGTTGTACGCATGATACAATTTGTTGCATGTATACATAAACAATTTATTTGAAAAGGGTAAAGTTTTATATCAAAATTCATGTGTACACATACACATTGTGTAATTTGTGTACACCAAGAATTATTCATACTCAATATATATTCCCTTCAAACTTCATACTCATCCTTCCTCTGTTCGAGTCATCTTAATCTTAATAATACACATGACTCGTGTTTACACGTTTTGAATAATAATGTTTTTAATTGATTTGAAATTATGTGATACTACATACGGAGTATGATTTAATGTAGCCTAATTTGATCTATTTAAGTCTGATATGATATGGTTTCTTCTAAATTGGTCTAATTAGGTCTAGTATACGTTTATTTCATGTATAATTTATAATAGTTGAAGTTTAGTTTCAAGTTATTCCGAGATGCGGTCAATTGATTTAGTCAAGAAAATAACAAGTACGAGTCTCACTCGAATTATGTGGATAGCTACATACAAATAACTACTTTACTGAATATTTTAGAAATAGCTTCATTAAATTTGAAATTAGACACCTAAGCTACAAACAAAATTCTATCAGCATGTTACTAAGTTACTACGTAATTTGGATGTGTCAATTGTCATTGTGTTGGTGGTTGCTCATTATTAGCAATGGTAATACTTGATTACTTATATGGAGTTATTATTATCACGTACAGTGGTCCAGTGGATGGGGTGAAGCGTGGCATTTGAGGAGGCTCCTTTTTTCTTATGCAAAAAGGTTGAAGTTCCAACCTCAAAAGCACCGCCACGCTCGGATCCAATAAATCATTTGGGAAGTTGTACTCTGAGAAGTCGGATAGAGTGCCTTGCTCCGAAGTAAGGCAGACACCCCGGATCCTAAAGCAACAGAGGGTAAAATCTAGTAATATAGAGATAGTATGAAATAATGAGTAGTAAAGTAATGTTTCCATAAGTAGAAACGATAAAATTAAAAAGGGCTAATCCATATACACGGCTTCTAATATTCTCATTTGTATGCATTAGAAGTTTTGTATTTATGGACAACATGAATACATGATTTCTAATGCTATGAAGTAGAATGAAAGAAGAAATTACCCCTCGTTTTTACCTATATATCACCATGTAATGTATATAGTGATCCAAACTTCACCCGATTACTTCAAACTTTTGAGAGAAGTAAATTTTAGTAACTGGTGTGTACAATTCATTAGGTTAGCAACAATTATTTATATATCGCCGCACATAAGAAATCGTTTTTAATTGATTGACTTTATGTGTCCTCAGATTTCCCAACGCAATTTTTAAGAGAATTGCCACTGATTGATAATAAAACATTGTCAAATGATTCGCATAGTGCCGCTTAAAGCTAAGTATGAAAAATTAACGAAGCACACTAATTGAGTAATCACTCAGACTAGCTCTGAGGCTCTGAGAATCATCGTTTGAAAAAATCTTTCTAAAATCACCTTCTTGGGGATATGGTTCATTTGAACCACTCTTACTTTTAAAAGAGGGCATGAGCTCATGACCAATATAAGGAAACGAACTATTTTGTTAAAAATAAAAATAAAGATGTGTTTTTATTTGAGATAGACATAGTTTGACACTAGACTAAACTATACCAATTCAAGTTGAAATTCACTAAATTCAAACAAATTAAACGAGTTCAAATCAGTCCATACTTTGATAATACTACGTAGTAAAATTCACATTATATTATAAAACCACAACACACCAATTTATACCAGACTTAAAAACACAACATATTAGAGCACCAAATTAAATTAACTTGAAAACTTGAGAACATCTTCAATTCCCTGCACCATTAGTTAACCGCAAGCAAAATAAAAACAAAGAAACGACTGGGCCAAATATACACAAAGTTAGCTAGTTGCTAGTGAGTAACTTTTGGTGCTACTACAAGGGCACGTGGTGTCTGATTCCTCTTGGTTAATAAAATATTGTTGCTTTCCAGTTATACAGTTGGGTCTCAACTTCTCTATATACCAGCTGTTGATAGCTGTCCCAATCCTCTTCCCCCATGTGACATCCCCACCCCCACCCCCCACCACCCCCACTACCCCATTGCCTTCTGGTCGGAGCCTAGATTGACTTTAAATCAACCCTACATTCTTACCATCTGCCAGTATTATTAAAAAAGGATATGATGACATGTGGTGTCAGTGGCGACAGTACAAAAATATATATACATATTAAAAATTTCGGAGTAAATATACCTAATTTTTTTTGGAGGGGCAGCAGCCCCCCTTTGTCACCTCCTGTGTCCGCCACTGTCTGGTGTGGTGTTGAGGATCTCAACGCCGAACAATTAACTGGGAAGATATAAATTACTCCGTAGCTTTTAATTACGTATAAGCTGATAGATAATGAGTATGGTTCTGACTCAAGTACTTGCACAGATATAATACTACGTAATACTCACCGCATTTGGGAGATTTACCTATTGTGGCATCCTTTATCCACAAGTTGAGCTACGCCTACGGGCTCTACAAGTGCTATTATTGTATCTCTTCCTCCATACCACGTACAAGAACTTGTGCATTATAAATTAGTTATTTCTTCAATCTTCATGATTGATTATTATAAATTAAAGTTTTTAAACGATTTAATTTAAAGTTGTAGTATATAATTACATAGATTGCTTTGAATTGGCTCCTTGATTAGCCTTGCATGCATGTTACTGAGCACGTATATAATATCGTACGTTAACGTTATTACATACGGAGTCGTACGTAGTGTTCATTATTAAGTGTTTCGTATTTCTGACACTAATAAATTTGAGAGAACACATTCATAAGCTAAGAAAGCTCTATCCATCATCAATGGCACAATTACCTCCGAGAGCTCCAAACGTGACACCCACTTGGCACGACTTTTCTCTCCAGAAGCCGCCGGCCACGGCGGTCCCGTCGCTCACGCCGTCGTGGGTCGACGAGTTCCTCGACTTCTCGTCCGTCAAGCGTGGCTCTCACCGGAGGTCGATCAGCGACTCCATCGCGTTCTTGGAGAGCCCGATGGCGGAGGAGTGCCGGCGGCTGTCCACCCCCGCCGGCGGCGGGGGTTCCGGGATGAACGGGAACGAGTTCGACCGGTTCGACGACGAGCAGCTCATGTCCATGTTCAACGACGACATCGCGAATTCGGTGGGGCCCACCAGCTCCAACACGTCGTCGCCGTCCGATCACAACAGCAACAGCAACGATGATAATGTGAAGGCGAAGAGCGGCGGCGCCGACCACCTCCGCCTCTACCAGACGCCGCCGCAGTTCAAGAGGGAACCGGAGGAAGTGGAAAGCTCATGCAAGTCCGAGGATCAAACGACGACCACCACGGCCCATGATGCGGCGGATTACTCATCGGAAAAGATAGTTGATCCAAAAAGAATTAAGAGGTAATTGGAATAATTAAACACTAATTGCTTTTCATCATCCCTAATACACTTAAAAATTCATAATGAAATTCTTCCATGCATATTGGTAATCACAATTAGTACTCCGTATTACTCGTATTGTTTTTTTATACAAATCCACTAATTTCACTTTTATTTTAATATACGGAGTAAGTATTACCGTAGTACTTTGTAGTTTTTGTCTAGTTAACTAGTTAACCTTTTTATGGCAATAGACAAATGTATCACGTACAATAGATCTCCGATTCTCCAATCTCCATACATGTTTGGATTAATTTACTTTTCTTCTTTTCTACATTGACCTTCATATATCTCCTTTTAATTAGGGAATAATTATCTCAAATATGACTAAAAACTTAGTAATTCTTGCTGGTAAAGTTAACAAATCTTATTCCTATAATAATACCTGTATATGTATTCATTAGATAAAATTAAAATATTTTCTTATTTATGAATAATACTCCCACCATCCCATTTGGTTGTCTCACTTTCATTTTTTTGGTTGTCTCAAAATAAATGTATTGTTTCTTGTTTTTACCAAAAAATATGTGATTCATATCATTTCATTTTGTTCTACTAAAATCTTAATCACAACTTTATTTGTAGTATCTATTTAATTTGGTAATAGATTGATATTGCTCATAGCCTCATATTATGGCGGAAGTGTCTAAATTAAATATAGCTATTGAATCTTTAAAAAATGTGCTAGTACATATTTTATGAATAGAATATAAAGAAAGAAAATGCTCTAAACAAAAGAATATAAAGAAAAATATACGGAGTAAATGAAAAGCACTGACATAGTCATTGCGAGTGTATTCTGCCAAACAATTAATTTCAGTCTTATTTATTCCCATAAATAAGAAAATTGGACTTAAATTGAGTTAGCTAGCGTATAATTACTGGTTAATCTAACATTTCTCTTAATCCCATACATTAATAAATGGTCTATATTTAATGTTATACGTTGGTTGGATGTGGATGACCAAATAGAATGTATTCTAAATTTGAATATAGGATCATATGCCTTCTACAAATAAGTGACTGATTAGTTAAACCAAGGCGTCACTACGGACATGTTTGGCACAACTAGCTGAAAAGATACTTTTGTGAGCTTTTTAATAACGGTTAGCTTTTAGTGGCTGAAAAGATCTTAAAAAGAAAAGGTGGTAGCTGTTTGATAAAAAGCTGACTGTTTGATTTAGTTCGGTTTGGTATACAAGCTGTTAGGATTAATTTATACTAAATGTCACGAGCTTTACTTAGATGCTACTCCCGGTAGCATCTCAAAAAAGATCTTTTAATTTTTGAAAAGCTCTTAAATATTGTCATGCCAAACACACAACTAGAAGCTTTTAGAAACTTTTTGAACAGTACAAAAGCTAGAAGTCAGGGACTTATGTCCGCCAAACATAGCCTACCTAATTGTGAAAATTATGTATAGGTTTTTCAAAAACTACATTCATTTTAGGCATTGACGATTGTTTTACATTAATTTAGTTTATCAAATACTTCGCATACGCCAAACAATATTTTCTTCAAATAAATATACGTAATACGCAGTGTGCATACGTAACATTTTTTTAGTGTGATTAAAGTTTTCTATTAATAATTTTGTGCTCATTATTTAATGACATCCTTTTATCTATGTATATATGTGAGAGAATGAGATGGACTTGTGGACAAATATTTGTGAACCTTAATCCACAAAAAGTCAAAAAGTATTGCTCACATCTACTATCGTATTTGATTTGCAGCTTAATTATTGTAGCACGTGCGCTGCATAATAATTAAATGATTGTGACTCAGGCGTAATTACGGAGTGAATTGCAGCTTAATTATTGTAGCCCGTACCATCAACCATGCTTATTACCAAAAAAGTTTATAGATTAATTTAACAATAAATATAAATGATGATGATGATTGAATTAATCTTGTGGTTAAAATTGGGATTAGGATATTGGCAAACAGACAATCAGCACAACGATCAAGAGTGAGGAAATTGCAGTACATATCGGAGCTAGAGCGTAGTGTTTCCACTCTACAAGTATGTATACATTCCTTCTTTTTTTCATTTCTAATCTCTGAAAGCGTATTAATGTTATAATGTGTTGTACTACACAGTTATAATATGAGTCAAATTAGTCCCCCAAAAAGTAAGGATTGTAGACATATTTGCTAATTACTTTTTATGAGAATGTAAACTTCATTTTGAGATCCTCACAAAATACCCACACGGGTAGCTCGACAGTGGCTGAGTGAGACAGTTGGTTGTATAGGAGCTTTTATCTGATGTGATGAAATTCCTTGTGCGAAGATCCTGAATCATCTCACTCAGAAATTATTTAAGATAATATCCTGATTTACTCCTTCACTATTCTGTTGAGTGGGCGTTTTCACCTTAAGTTGGGATAAAAACTAAAAACTCCATGTCTTATTTCAGAACTTTTTTGTGTCACCCTAGCTATTTTAGAGTGGATAATATGGAAATATCCATGATAATCCATCCCTATAAGCTGTGCATTTTGTTAAATGTGTATATCCATCAATCAATTATCTTCTTGAGTGTTTAATTGTATTTCTAATTTGATGATTTGGTTTTGTAAATGGTGAAAAAGGCGGAGGTTTCAGTACTGTCACCGAGGGTCGCATATTTGGACCACCAACGTCTAGTTCTGAATGTAGATAACAGCGTCCTCAAGCAAAGAATCGCCGCTCTTGCCCAAGATAAAGTCTTCAAAGATGGTAATACCCTCCTTCATTCTCCACCACGCCTTGGGATGTTTGGATCTACTGTATAAAACTGTTTCTTCTCCTTCGTTGAGCAGAAAGATATATTAGAGTATTCGGGTGAAAGTGTATTTCTGGATTCTCCAATTACTCATAGAAGCAGTGTTTTAGAAATTGGGGAGACCAACTTCTAAAAAACTCATTTTGTTTCTACTTTAAATCATTGCCCTTTTGTTTAGGTAGTGGAGGGGTTGACTAATGAGATCTATCTAAAATATTTATTGGAAAGGATTTTGTTTAATTGGTTTCCTTGAATTATAAGTTAAATTTGATAAAATGGATGTATGCAGCTCACCAAGACGCATTGAAAAGGGAAATAGAGAGGCTGAGGCAAATTTATTACCAGCAGAACTTAAAGAATATGGAAGATAATGGTACACAACCACCCCCTGCTGATCCGTCTAATTGTTCTGAAAAGAAAGAGCAACTTGCCCATTGATGAAGGTATATACTTCGTATTATATACCCATACATCTCCACTGTTCTTTTTTAAATTCTATATTCATAGATGGATTTAATTTGTTGTTATTTTTGTTATTATTATTATTACATTTTATTAATAGTGTACGAACCAACAACACATGCTCCATCCCCACTCCAAAAAACAATAAAGAAATCATCATACAATGTAGGGCCCTCCATGTGAAGTTCTTTTTTCCCTAATTAAACTCTATATATTAACCAATGGTTATTAGAGAAACAATAAATTAAGAAGCTGAGGTTGAAAGTTGAAATATCCTCACATTCCATCATATATCATAGACAGATTATCTTGTATAACAATAAAATTAACTCATTAAAGTGAAAGTAAAAATGTCATATATTTATATGTCTTGTGAAATCCTTTTCTAATTAAACTTATTTTTAGGGGGTGTTTGAAACTGATTCTGCTTCTTTTCTAAAACAGAATCAGAATCATTTTTCAGAAGCTGGTCTCCCCCAACTTCTAAAAAAACTGCTTCCAGGAGTAAATTAGAGCACCAAAAGTACTTCTTCACTTTCACTCAATCACTCCAAACACCCCTTGTACCAAGTAAAATAGGGAAAAAGTGTGATGAGTTTCAATATGATAATAAGTTGAAAAGTTAAATAACAATGCAGGAAATTAAAGAGAGATGTTTTCAGTGGAGGAGAAAAAGAAGAGTAGTGCATTTATGTATGACAAGTGGAACCTACAAAGAGTTTCTATGCATGAGGGGCAAGATAAGGTCACTTAGATGTCTGCAGGCAGCCTCCCCCCACCTTACCCAAAGGAGGGACCATCAATCCCACCATTACAGTGCTCTGCAACATTTGGGCATGGGTAGTTTATTTTTTGTATTTTGTGTTTCTGAGTGTTTCATTGGTTTTTTAATTGAAAGCCAAGTGATCCAGTGTTTTCTGATGCATTCCCATATCTCTGTAACTCTTCTTTTTCTTCTTCATTCATTTGATCCTTTCTTTTGGGATTCTTTGTATGACATATTAATGAGCTCCCTTGTCAAAGGGAGGAAAAATTGTAAATATTCAATCATTTGTTAGTATAAATGCTCCACATTAATAATTTTTAGAGCAAGGTTCAGAAAATGCCAAAGCATCTTTCAAGAGACTCAGGATATTATTGTCAAGTCCATATTTGTATCCAATTTTTTCACTAAATATATCCATATCTCTAGCTTATTTGAAATCTATAGACTATAGTAATCCTGCCTTGTCGTCACTCAAGTTAAAGACTTAATATGAATTGTTCAAAAAAAAACTTGGTTTCAAGTTCCAAAAAAGATCATAAAATGTTACATCACAACCTTACAAAATTGGAGTGCAAATATGCGTGCAAAACAAAGAACTTAATGGAGCACATCAATGAAAGATCATAAAATGGTGTTAGTTGACCATTACAGAAACCAATTACGTGGTGTACAGAATGAATCAGAAAACCTTACAGAATTGGGCATGCAAATATCTGTGCAAAACAAAGAGCGTAACGGATCAAAGAGATCACAGAATGGTGTTAGGTGACTATTAGAGAAACCAATAGTCAACTGTCTAGTCTGGATCAAAGAGAGAAGATCACGTAATAGTCAACTAGCTATTAAAGAAGAAAGGATCATCCTTAAAGAGACTAGACCAGCCAGTTTTAAGGATGATTTTAACTGGACTGAAACTTTTTGGTCTGGTTTGGACTAGTTTGTTTAAGTATGGTCTGGTCTGAACTAGTCTATCAAATGTCTAGTTTCTGTGTATTTCGAAGTCTGCTCTAATCTGATTTGTTTAATTAAGTCTTGTTTAGTACGATCTGCTCCGGTTAGGGACTGAAAACAGTCCAAAGTAAAAACATTACTAGTTTAATGACTTTCATAGCTGGACTCAAACCAAAGTGCTGCAGGTTCAAAACAGGTGATCACCAATAACCCAAACAAAAGTAATTCAATAGTACTAACTTACCACATTTAATTCATAAAAACACCATTTTTACCTCTGCTTGCTCCTTATCAGGAGGAGCTTCTCTACGTTTGGTTTGAAGCTCTCTAAGCGAAAAACCTAGATAAATGATTTTACTTTCCCTAAACTTCTTGTACTCTTTGGCAATAAAAAGGAGGAGAATTGTAGTTGCAATTCATCGAGCAGCAATCACAACTCCTCTGAAAGTTTAAAACAGAACAGTAGCAAGTAGAATTGATTTTGTTTGGGTGTGAACTGCTTACCGCTATACCTGCTTGCATTGGAGCTCGGATATATGTCTCCATGGGCGGACCTTCCAACAAAATTTATTTTTAGTATATATATATAAGAAAAATAATTTTCGCCCTTTCAAAAAATAATTTTAACCCTTAAAAAATATTTTGAACCCCCCAACATTAATTTCCTGGGTCCGCTCCTGTATGTCTCCATTAAATTGTTCAAGCGTAGACCAATGAGAGGCTGTAGTATTTTGTTTTAAAATCAGCTAAGCTTTTTAGTTAGTTCTATTCAAAACATGGCTAGCAATTTAGTCTCGAGAGAGGAATGCAAGCCCTAACAAAACATACATGTAACGATAATCACATTCTCATTGTCTTGATCAGAGTCGGGAATATATTAACACTATCGTATTCATAATCATTAAAGAACTAGTATTAAACTCTAGTAAAGCGTTTAGGCGAATCCTAAAGCCTTTGTAATCCTTATTCTCGTTTAAACTAATATCAAGGACGAAAGTCCTGCACATTCATATACAAAGTATCCAAATCCCGAACTTTATAACAACAACCATTTCATTGACTACTAATTTTTTATTAGGGAAAATTACTATTTATTCCCTGAGGTTTTGCCACAATTATTAATGCAACCTTGCGTTTTCAAAATTCAATTAGTTACCCCCTCAGTTTTGATCATTCTCACTATATGTCCCCTCGTATCAATATTTGTTAAATTAAATTCAATATAACTCTTAATTTCAATTCAATATTTGTTTATTCCACGATGAAGTAGCGAAGTACAAAATAAATATCAAGAACAATGACTTCTAATTATGATAATACATTGTGTACTGATGGTACCATGGATTAAGACCATGGTCCAATTACGTAGTCAAGCCCATAAACGGGATCGGCCCTCAACAGGACCAGCCTAATTACAGGATCAGCCCATAAACGGGATCGGCCCTCAACGGGACCAGCCTAATTACAGGATCAGCCCATAAACGGGATCGGCCCTCAACGGGACCAGCCTAAGTACAGGATTAGCCCACAAACGGGATTCATGGTTGAAAGCTGCTTAGCCCATTAGGAATTAGGCCCACGATAGGAACCCACCAGCAGGCCGGGCTGGACAGCAGACCTCGAGCCTGGGCAGAGTTCTAGTGAGGCCAGGGTATTCCTAGGGCTTACGTGGCAAGCTATCACTCGCTGATAGATATTTGGCAACAGGCAGAACTCATCCGGAGGACGACGACTAAAAAGGGAAAGAAATCATGTGGGAGTCAAGCATCGAAGAGTTCTATTTCTAGCAAGAATATTGTTCATTAATTGAGCATTTATTGTATTAGATTCCTCCCATAATTCTACTTCATAATCTCTATAAATACTTGATGTAAACTCCCTACCAAGGGATCGGATCCCCGATAAGATTCTAAAACGATGCTAGACTATTGCTAGTTCTCCGGAATAAAGAGTAAACTGCCTTACGCTGCCATATTATTTTCATATTTTACGTATATTAGCTCTCGTAGTTGGATTTAACTCCATCATGTATTATTTTAAAATGTAATTTTGTAGACAATTTGCATTGAATTTAAGAGTTATATTAAATTTAATTTCACGAATAGTAATACGAGGGGCAAGTAGTGAGAATGATCAAAACCAGGGCCGGCCCTGGTGTTGTGCAAGCTGTGCGGTCGCACAGGGCCCAACCCGGGCGGAAGGCCCGGTTAGGGCGGAGGCCCAATAGATAAAATAATTAGCCCGAACCAAATAAAATACACGCTCCATGTGGGAGTCGAACTTGCATTGCCTAAGGGAAATAGTAGAAGGCCTACCAGCTTATCAAGTGAGCCAGTTGATATATATTCGTCACTAGCATTACAAATACTAGTACGGAGTATAAAGTATCTTTTTACTTATTTGTTAGTTAACTACGGTATTTTTGGTACCACATATATAGTACTAGTACTATATTTTGTAAGTTACTTAACTTATTTTCTTTATTTTCTTATGGTTAGCTATATCAATTATTATTAATTTGAATTTCTTTTATTATAATATTTTTTGTTAGCACTTAGCAATCAAAATAAGTTTTTCATTACGTTTATACTTACCTTTTGTATTTTTAAGTTTATTATTTTAACTACATGAGTTATATATAATTACTTCATCAGCCTCAAGTTGAGTTGTAAAATTGACTTTTATGAGTCAAACAAATTCATTTTATTCATTTAATTGAGATATCAATTCTTAATTAAACTTTAACTTGGATTTTAACATTTTATTGAGATTTTAATGTAGTTTGGGAATATGTAAATTTTAATTATTCAGTATTAAAAATGAATTAACTATAAATAGGGAAGATTTAACTTTAACATTGAGACGGAGATAATATGATTTTTTTATATTAATAATATAGGGCCTTTTATTTAATTTTGAACAGGGCCTTCAATATTCCAGGACCGGCCCTGATCAAAACTGAGGGGTAACTAATTGATTTTTGAAAATGCAAGGTTGCATTAATAATTATGGCATAACCTCAGAGGTAAATAGTAATTGATTTTTAAGTTTGAGGATTGTGTTTTTTTGTTGTTGTCCGTAGCAGCATGAAATTTTATGTTCTAAATTTTGGTATTGGGAGTAGACAATTAAATCTTTCAGCAGTATAGCCACGTTTTATACGTAGCAGATTCTTATTGCATAGTTACATTAAATTCAAGGGTATTAAGAAGAGTCAACTACTAGGGAGATCGGGGTTTGTTGATCGGTTCTAGCCGAGAGAAGATTGGATTGTCTGTTACATACATAAAAGTTGTGCAAAAATGTAATTTTGTTGGGATGTTTGGTTCTCCATGTTAGTTTCTCTTTTTCCTAATTAAACTCGATATATTAACCAATGGTAATTAGAGAAACAATTAATTAAGAAGATGAGGTTGAAAGCAGGTATAAAGAATATCAATCCATAATAATATCACTTCATCATCGTCATTAACGTGCATGGAAATTGAAAAATGATCAATTATACGTCCGTGAAATTCATTTGTAAGCTCACTTCCAGGGAAAAAGTGTGATGAGTTTCACTATGATAATGAGTTGAAGAGAAATAACAATGCAGGAAAGAGAGAGATATTCATTGGAGGAAAAAAAGAAGAGTTGTGCATTTATGTGTGTCACCCCATCCCGGAGGCCTCCCAACACCGACACGATGGTATGATGGGAGGATGTAAATTGGACTATAATTTCAATCTGTGAGATAGAGAGTGAGATCTGTCTCCGGTACTTGCAGATGCCCTATGTCGAGCAACATCTCATCACAGTTGACGGGAGCCGAACCCGGGACCTAACCCTTGTGGTACTCTCTCGCTACTAGTTGAGCTATGCCACCGGTAGCATTTATGTGTGTCATAATGTCAAGTGGAACCTACAAAAAGTTTTCTTTGCACGGGGATAAGGTTTCTTGGATGTCTGCAGGCCGCACTTACCCCCCTCCCCCTCCCCCCCAATCAATGGCGGATCTAACGTGGGGGCGGGGAGCAGCTGCCCTCACTCAACCCCTATATATATATATATATATATATATATATATATATATATAATTAATACTCCGTATACAATTATATATTTTTTGTGATTAACATAAAGACCTTATACATTAATTACAGCATTTGGTAACATAAGAGCATCCTGCCCAATGCTGTAGAGTTCTGTGCGTGTAACCCTTACCTGGTCAAGTGTTCGAATCACTTTGTAGGCTTTTGATCCATATTTTTTTTTTTTCATTTTTGGCCCTTTTCTTAAGCTTTAGCAGTTAGAATGAATTTTAAGTGGTACATAATTGCTTTAATTTTTTCCCTGATTTGAAAGATTTAAAATACCTTAACATAGTTACAGTTTTAATTTCACATATATTTGTAAGGTTTAATAGTAACATTTTTTCAATTAATATAACTATTTTCTACATATACTTGTATATCCACAACTTAAATCAATTCTAAATACA